TCAATAGGCTTCGTCCTTGGGTCAAATAAAACGTGCGTGCCAATTATCCATCCAATTATCTTGAAAATTGCGACCTGTAGCTTGCGCACAAGGTTTACATGGACAGCCAGCCAGCCAGACGGACGGACGGACGGACATAGCTTAATCGACTCAGAAAACGATTCTAAGCCGATTGGTATACTTTAAGGTGGGTCTAGGACGAATATTTTTATATGTTACAAACATCAGCACAAATCCAATATACCCTCCCCACTAAAGTGGTGTAGGGTATAATTATTGCAGTGTGTTAAAAAAAAAAATCTATTTAGCTGGACAAATTAAATTTTAGCTTGAAACTGGACAAGCATCAAAAAAGCTGGACAATCCAGCCAAGTCCAGCCAGGCTGGCAACCCTAGTCAGAACTTATATCTATACCATCTCCAAGGTTTATGAAGTTTTTTGATATTTTATGAATAACTAGCTATACTCAGTGTGCTTCGCTACCCTAATCATAATGGAATAAAATAAATATAATTATTGTGAATGTATATAAGTGTATCTGCAATATCAAAAAGTCCCCTTTTAGAGAACTATTTAAGTTTGATTTTATGATTCTAGCCTCAATGTTACAGAAAAAAAAAACAGTTGAAGAACGAAAAAGTACCAGACAGTGCCTTTTTATAGATTTTCATAAAATCAGGATAACGCATGTTTAATTTTCAACCAGAAACCAAAAAAATCGCATACAGATTTTTATACAATCAGGAAGCTGCGTGTCCAATTTTATGTTTTTACGTTCAATATTATAGAAAATTCGAAAAGAATTAGAAAAAGAACAAAAAAGGATACTGGGAACTTTTTAAATTTTCATTCAATTATGTTTACATATGTTTATATATTCAATATTTTAGAAAGCTCAAAAAGTACCAGTTGAAGTACGAAAAAGTACCAAAAGACCTATTTTATTTAATTTCATGTTCCTAAGTTCAACTTTATAGAAAATTCAAAAAGTACCAGTTAAAAAACGAAAAAGTAGCAGAAAATATTCCAGCTCAGCAAAAAAAAGTGAGGAAAAAGAAGTAGAATTTTCACCACAAATAACATACTTGAAGTACTTCCAATTTTGGTGAAAAACCTATGAATTTTACATTAGCGTGTCATTGGAGGGATGTTGATCATTTTTGACAACTTTGAACTACATCTAATCTTATTCATAGATGCAGTAAAAATCCGATATTTGGATGTCAAAAATAAACCACATTCTTTCAATGACACGCTTATGTAAATTTCATTGGTTCTTCACCAAAATTTAATGTACTTCGAATATGTTATTTGTAGTGACTTTTCAACATCTCTTTCCTCACTTTTAACTCGGTTTTTATTTGTAAGGAAATATTTGGAAAATTTTGGTTTAAATGCAATCGCATTTTGAGATGTGATTAAGATGTCGTTTGTAAAGTATGACATCAATCTGTCTCTGATTGCTTGGTTTTATGTTTCTACGTTCACTATTTGTAATAGAAAACTCAAAAAGTACCGGTTGAATAACGAAAAATTACCAAAGGTCCCCCTTTTATAGATTTTTTTTTAAAGAGAAGTAACACTCAGGCGTTAATGCCTATATGCATAGATCGTGTTACTTTCTTTGGAAAGGTATAGAGTAGAGGAGAATGGTGGTGAAAGTGAAGGATAGAAGAAAGCTTTGTTTATTTACAACTCTGTAATTGCACGTTATGTTTAATTTTAGAACAGTGTTGCAGCGCTTCTGGTGTTGAGTAGGCGCATTAATTTAAGCTTTTTATAGCCAATTTATATTTATTTTACTTCGACGACGATTTAATGCTATAGAGTATACCGCCGAAGGAGGGCGCTGTAATAAATATTAGTTTTGATAGATACTTATAATTTATCATAAACTGATGTTGTTGATTGGCAGCGGCTGGGGATCGAACCAAGGGCTTGCTAACCATGCTTAGTGATCAACGTGCTAACCACTTAAGCTACAGCACCCTCTCTGGCTAACTAACTCTGGCTTCTCTTCAGTTGTCGAATAAATCTTTCGCCTTTTACTAAAGATTTCCGTTTAGAGGAGCATTCTAATGAGTCTAAAATAAAATTTTTGCATAGATTCTCATTAACTCCGGAATCCACTTGCTTAATTTCATGTTTCTAGGTTCAATATTATAGAAAATTCAAAAAGTACCTTTTGTAGAACGAAAAAGTACCAAAAAGTCCCCTTTTATGTGTTCTGACCTAATCCGAGCTCTGCATACTTTATTTTATGTTTCTAGGTTCAATATTATTGAAAATTCAAAAAGTACCTTTTGTAGAACGAAAAAGTACCAAAAAGTCCCCTTTTATGTGTTCTGACCTAATCCGGGCTCTGCCTACGTAATTTCATGTTTCTAGGTTCAATATTATAGAAAATTCAAAAAGTACCTTTAGAAGAACGAAATTGTACCAAAAAGTCCCCTTTTATAGATTCTCATTTACTCCGTGCTCTACACGTTTAATTTCATGTTTCTAGGTTCAATTTTATAGAAAATTCAGAAAGTACCTTTTGAAGAACGAAAAAGTGCCAAAAAGTCTCCCTTTTTAGGTTTTCACTTAATGCTGGCTCTACATGCTTAATTTCACGTTTCTAGGTTCAATATTATACAAAAATTCAAAAAGTACCTTTAGAAGAACGAAAAGTACCAAAAAGTACCATTTTATAGATTCTCATTTACTCCGGGCTCTAAATGCTTTATTTCATGTTTCTAGGTTTAATTTTAAAGAAAACTCAAAAAAGTTCCTCTGTAGAACGAAAAAGTACCGAAAAGTCCCTTTATTATTAATTTCATGTTTCGATTTCATATCATAGAAAACTCAAAAAGTACCAGTTGGAGAATGACAAAGTACCAAAAAATATCACTTGGTACCCGGGTGTTTAAGTGCTCTATACGCCATTTTGACAATTTTGAGTTAAGGACGCCACTATAGGTTTTCGTCTGGTTGCTGAGATATATCGTGTCTGTTTTGCTCTATATCCATCAAAACAGAACTTTTTTGTGTCATTTTGCTCTATACGCCAATTAATGGCATATAGAGCAAAATTGCAATAAAAAATCTTGAAATTGATTTGTGCTGAAAATTTTGCTCAATATGGAGTTAAAATTGTTTAATACTAATATTTTTCAATATATTCTCCTGTTATAAGTAATTATATGGAGTTCTTCTTTATGTATAGAATACTGTTGTATTTTACAAATAAAACTAAATAAATACATATCGCGCTCATGTACTACAAGATCAGCATAATCGAAAAAAGTCGTTCTAAGAAAAATTGCTTTGAATATTTAATGAATTTTAATGAGTAAAATTAAAATTTTAATCTGTTTCTCATCTAAGTTGAAATTTAAAGTAAAGAATAATGTTCTTATTTACTTTCATTTAGATGCATTCCAGAAATATTTTTGTATGTTCATTAGGGTTATTACTTTTTTGGACGGCAAAATACCACAGCACTACATTATAGCCAATACTGTTCTGATAATAAAAGGCAATTTTTGTCAGACCATTTACAGGTCAAAAGTATTATTCACAAATTTTCTGAGTCTGGTCATTCACAAATCCAAGAAGTCGATTGCCTTGACAGTGCTTTAGACAAATATCTGAAACGTTAAGAAATTCATAGTATATTTGTAACCAAAATAATTTATTTACAATAAAATTTAAAAACTCAATTTTGCAGCCTACTTTCCAAATAGCAAATATAATAAAAAAGGTTGCCGAAATCAATTACCAGCACCGTTAAATATTTTTGAAACAGATTTAAGTAACGTTAGGAGAAAAGAAAAAATTCAAAATGAAAAAATTACTGATTTAAGATTGTTATTTAGTTTTATATCTGAAACAGACAAAAATTATTACTTAACTCAAATAAATTGAGATGTTAATTTTTTATTTGTCATATTCTATAATAACATTATAAATAGTTTTTATTTTTGTAAATGAATAAATTGTTTTTTTTTTTTATTTTTTTGTTAAAATTTTTAGGCGTGTTTTATTGCTTTTCTAATGCTATTTTTCTCTACGTGTATGTATTTGCAAGGAAATTGTGCTGACGTCAATATTCGATGAGGTGGATCAAAGGATAAAAAAGTCCTTTTTTAAGATTTTTATGATTTTTATTATATTTCTTGCAAATAATCCATATCCAAATTTAGTATCATATCTTTGGAAGACGATTTCAATGAAATAGCACAATTTTGTATATAACTCCAAAATTATAACAAATGTCGTAATTTTTCGGGAAATTTTAAAGTTTTTAACATTTTTACATAGAATTATTTAATGTAATTAATTGAAATTATTACATTATAAACCTCATATAATTCTACAAAATGTATTTTTCTGTTTTTGGAAATTCGATATGATTCTAGAAAAATATCTTGAATTTATTGTAAGAAATTTTAATTATAATTGACGATTTCCAAAAATTTCTCAACAATTTGAATCATAAATCGCTGGAAAAAGATCTAGTTCAAAAGAAGGCGTATATGTTCTCTAAAACTTCTCTAGAACTATATCCGAACTTAAATCATTGATTAAATAACTTGTTCCAGAAACGTTCCATTGAACGAGTCTGTTGATGCGTAATGTATAGTTGTGAATATTTTTGGAATTGTGTTTACAATTATTGCAATGTATTACATATTAAAGCACGTGTGTTTTCTTTAATTTTCAAAACTTCACTGCATGTTTATTTCAATATAATATTAAAGCTAAATGTACATAGGTTTTGTGTTGTAATATAATAGTGGTTACGTTAAATTAACAAAGAATGCAAGAGGAGAACAATGTAAAGTTTAGAGTGACCATGCGATATGATTACTTTACACGCCTCTCCTTAAGCTTCTCAATAAAGATACAAATAAAATATTTGAATTGTATACATACATATGTAAGTAATATAGGTAATTGATTATTATTATTATTTTTGTTTACTTCATTATTCAAATTTTGTTTTTCTTCTCAACTACTTTACCTCCAATACGTGGTCTGAGTTAGTTTGTGTCTTAGTATTTATTTCCGTTCTCCCCTCAGATTGGTCATTGGTTAACTCCTCTTGTACTTCAGTGTCCCGATGTTGTTGAGGTTCTTGTTGTTGTTGTATTACTTGTTGCATTTGTGGATTTCTTATTTGATCTAAATGACGTTTTATTTCATAATTGTTGCGATTTAATATACAACAATAGGAACGACGACCTAGCTGTTTTTTATTGTCGCTTCTGTCCAACTAAGTTTGTTAGGGTTTCTATAATCACGAACTAGTACATTTTGACCTTTTGAGAATACTATCATGTCTGTTCTGTAAATCGATTCGGTTTCAAAACTGAGAAGCTTTTAAAATCGAATTTGGTGTTCGAATTTTTATTTGAACGTAAAATTCAATTACAATTATATTAAAAAACGCAAAAAATAATTGTTAAATTTATTTGAATCAAATTCAAATCGATTTAATTTCGACTAGATTTTGTACTCGGTTATAAAACGAGAAAAATTATGAGAATTCGTTTTTAAACGAGAAATTTACTCGGATTCGGTTTACAGAACAGACAGGTATTTTTCGGCCACCATTATAATATTTTATATTTTTCTCTTGTGATTCAATAATCTTTTCCATTGTAGTTGGTGGTTTGAGAGCGCTAAAACGAGCGCTAAAACGAGCGCAGAACGAGTGTTCTGCTAAAAAATATTTTTGCTGGTGATTCACCTGTTGTATAATGTGCTGTATTACGGTAGTCCACTAAAAATCTTGATATTATTTTATCAAGATTTACATCTTTTTGTTTATCTTTTAAATTAGCAATAACAGATTTTTTAATAGTTTTCACAAAGTTTTCTGATTTGCATTAAAATTTTAATTCTATTAAAAGACAAAAATTGTTGAAAGTCATGGGAAGTAAATTGCCGACCGTTGTCGCTTACCAGAGTATCGACCAATCCGTATCTAGCAAATAATTCTCTAAGCTTCGCAATGGTGAATGTTGTTGTGATTTTTTTTGTCTTAAAAATTCCGGAAATTTTGAAATGACTATTACAAAGTAAAAATTGTTTGTTGGACCAGCGAATTCAACATGAATTCGATTCCATACTGAACTACAGGGCTCCCAAGGAATTAAATAACTCCTTTCAGGGCTAGGCAACAACTCTTGACACGATTTACAATTACGAACAATATTCTTATCGCTTATCGAGACATGGCACCAAATGTAAGATCTTGCTAAAGCTTTTGTTTTTACTGTTCCTAAGTGGGTGCTATGTAGGTCATTGAGTATTTTTGTTCTTAATTTTTCTGGAACAACTGTTCTAAGTTGTAAGTTGTGTGTGTTTTTCTCAATAAGGTGCAAATTCATCTCCTTTTATGTTATTTAATGTTCTATTTAAAATAGTTGTGGCTCACTTTTAATAAAATTGGATTTCTTTTTGTTTCACGAGCAATGTCTTTAAAATTTAAATTCAGCCCATTTTCAGATTCAATAAAATTTATGTATGAATTTTCCTTTGATTAGGATTCAAAATCTACTTGGGACATACGAGAAATGCTATCCGCTTCATTTAAACATCCTTTCATATATTCAACGGTGTAGTTAAAACCAGAAAGTATCAATGCCCACCTCTGCATTCTAGCTGAGGCCATTAAAGGTAAACCTTTATTATTGTTAAAAATAGTTAGTAATGTTCGATGGTCTGTTCTCAAAATAAAATGATTTCCAAGCAGATACTGTTTAAGTTTTGTAACACAAAACACGATTGCTAACGCTTCTTTTTCTAAAGTGCTGTTATTTCTCTTGCACGAAGTTAGTGCTCTTGAAACAAAAGCAAAAAGCCTTAAGCCCACAGGAAACTTGGTAGATAACACTCCAGCAACGAGCATCAGTGGTTAATATTATTGGTATTTCAGAATTAAAGTGAACTCAAATTTGATCGGATGTAATAGCACCTTTTTATAAAATTATATGCCTTTAGACATTTTTCTGACCACAGAAACTTTACATTTTTACGTAATAGCTCATATAAAGGTGACATTTTGTCCGCAAAATTTTTAATAAATTTTATATACTTGAGACACGGTCATTATTTTTGCTTAAGCCGTTTTTATCAATATTGAAACCAAGATACGAAATTTTTTGGTTGAAAGAAAATACTCTTTTTGACATTTAACTTGACTCCAGTTGATTTTAATTTTTGAAGTACTAATCTTAATGTTTTAACATGATCATCCATATTTTTGCCCGTTACCGTGATGTCGTCTTGATATACAACAAAATATGGTATATCTCTTAATAAATTCTCCATGGTCTTCTGGAAGATTGCTGCAGCTGTCTTTACATCAAATGGTAACCGCTTTACCTTTAGAGTACCAATATGAGTACTCCATGCACACAACAGTTGGGAATTGTCATTCAAAACAAGTTGATTATATGCATTTGATATATCTAGTTTTGTAAAAATTTGACCACCCTCTAACTCATATACCGGCGTATAGAGAGGAAGATAAAAAAATCACCACTACACACACACTATTGGCATTTTTTCAATGAAATTGCACTGAAAAAAATATTTGGTTATTTTTAATTTTGAAGATTAAATTGCATTACCGTAAAATGCGAATATTTATTAACAAAATGTTATCAATGTACATAAGAATGATAATTTCTTCACATAGAAACGACATTTCAAATTAAAATGTACAAAAAAATATGAAAAAAGATGAACTTATTTACTTTCATTGTTAAGCATTCTAGAAAATTATTTAGGGTGTACGTTGTTTTTGTAAATTATGCTCTTGTTTTTGAAAGTTGTTTTTGTTTTTTCATGTTGTGTTTGCAATTTCATCAACAAAACGGCATCAACCCGCTTTGCTAAATGCTGTCAAGCAACTAAATAAAATATTTGTATCTTTGATGCTCTTGTTTAGAAGTTCGCCTGCGATCATGTTGTGTACATGTAATTTGCCGAAAATCTTCGTTGTGAGAACAATACTAGCGCCGACGTCTGCTCTAACTACTCAAAAATTTCCTCAATTCGTGGCCAAGAACGTTACTTTGTATTTTCTTTCCACGCCAGTGGTAAAGGCCTAGGCTTAAAAAATACCGGTTGTGCACCATCGTTAATCCATAACGATATTTTGTTTACTTTGTATTCGCCAAGCTGGTTATCAAAAACATCCGCAAACTCATTTTATAATTGATCAACAATATTTTCTCCATTACCTATATTATTTACTTGTACCAACTCGAATCCAGATGCTCTTAAAAATGAACGACCAAGAAGTGGGGGAACCACAACAACAATAGTCTTGTTTATACCTTTATAATTAAAGCATGCATCATATTCACCTATAATGTTCAGTCGATCTCCATTATAATCCATATACGAAACTTTGCATGGCTCAAACTTGTTGTAATATTGTTTTCTTTCAAAAAACACTCTGGAACTAAAGTTCAAGGAGCACCAGAGTCACAGAATACTGTAACTTTCACACCATCGATTTTAACGGGGAGAGAGTACACGTCACTAGAAAATTTGTTAGACACACTGAAAATTGAATAATTAAAAAAATCATTATCATTAGGATCGTTAGTTGATATATAATTGATACCTTTTTTATATCTACAAATTGAAGCTAAGTGTCCAATTTTACCACACGAATGACATTTGCTTTCTTTAGATTTGCAATTATGAGAACTATGACTACGCCAGCCACAATGAGAACACTGAATCTTCTGTCTCTTTTCACCACAGCCTCTGCCGACATCACTGCTACTAGCGCTGTTGTTGTTTGTTTTTTATCCACGTTTTCTTTTTGACGAAGTTTACACTGAAATCTGCACTGTGTTTACTTTTAGTTGAATTCTTCGTTTCCATGATTAGTGCCTTTTTCAGAGCAGTTTCAATAGTCAAGCTTTCGTCTTCTTCACAAAGCCTCTCATAAATGTAGTTTGACAAACCCACAATAAATTGATTTAAAACGAATGCATCCAAGTGTCTTCCAAATTTACAATTGAGAGCTAATGTTTTCACTTGGGCATACCATTGTGCAACTGTTTCGTTTTCATTTTTTGTAGAACAATTAAATAATTTGCGTTCACGAAAAACTATTGTAGGTGGTATATATTGAGTGTCTAAAATTTTACACAATTCCTTATAAGTCTTTAACACAGGTGTATCTGGACTCCATAAGCTGTGTAACATATAATATGCGGCAGCGACAATCGACTTTAGTAGTATAGATTTTTTATGTTGTCACTCTCAAAATTTATTTCGCAAAAATGTATGTCTAGCTTTTCTTTCCACACTTTCCAAGTCCCCTGGTTAGGAGAAAATTCTGGAACATTTCATGTCTGTAGCACCGTAAATGGTTGACTTTATACTTATTGTTTTAACCTCGTCGCCAATTATATTAATGTATTACATATTAAAACACGTGTGGTTTCTTTAAACTCCAAAAAACAACTTCACTGCATGTTTATTTCAATATAATATTAAAGCTAATTTTGTGTTGTAACATAAAAACGGTTATGTTAAATTAACAAAAGGAGAACAATGTAAAGTTTAGAGTGACCATACGATATGATATACTTTACAATTATAATGATATTTCTAATTAAAAGTCTAAAGGGAAGACACAAATGAAATCCTTTGTAAAGAATATTACAATCCAAAAAAATTTTGGAAATGTATATTGAATATAAGATTTTAGTTTAGCTTTGTTCCATAGGAAGTGGCCCTTTTAAAATGTAACTTAAGCTCATCAAACTTCTACAGATAACCATTAAACATTATTTTTTATGTTGTACATAATTAATTAATAATTCATTTTTAACCATATTTTTACAGAAGAACAAGTAAAATTGGCATACAAGAATATGTACTAAAAATCCTAAAATGTGCTAAAAAAGTGCCAAAAACATTTGAAAATGCTAAAAAAGATGCTAGGTTCTAGATTATATTTTTGGGTGCTAAATGAGTTTAAAAAGTGCTTAATTTAGCACTAAAAATGCTAAATTTACAACACTGATACCAACATAAAATCTATAAAAATAAATCTAAATAAAATGAAATTTTATAGTTTTTATTGAAATAATAGAAAAAATAATTAATTTAACAACTAATTTAAAAAAGTAATATATGTATGAAAAAATTTGAATTATTACCATATGATTAGATAATTTCCAGGGAATCTGTGTTAATCTTGCAACTGTTGATTGGTACACTTCCAAAAGTTGTAAAACATTGGACTCTAAAATATTTTTGTAGTTCTTAATAAATTTTATGATCAGTCCATCAAATTGTAAGAGTTATATTTTGGAACGCATTAATCCTTCAACGAAATAAACAAAAATAATATTATAATTAATATTGAATTTACATACTTTTGTATTTATTGAAATTATCTGTTATACTTTAGGAAGCAATAAAAATAGAATTCTCTTATGGCCAGTACATATCACACCAAAGTTTAAACGGTCAGATTCATTTTTTACATTTTCTGCAAATAATCTACATTTTTAATGGAACCGCGTATGTAATGAAATAAGACTTATATAACTTACCAGATCCCTTCTTATTATATTTAAATTCGACTGGAAGTATTTTAATAGGGGTTACAATATTAGCTACTGTTTTCTACAAAAATTCTAATAATTAAAAATGAATTAATTTATTTATAGTTTTGGATCAAGAAAAACATTAGCTTTCATGGAAATTTTTTAAAACATTAATATAACTTGGAATTAAACCGTCTATAAAGATCTGAAATTATTAAGTCATGGATTATTTTTAAAATTATTTACAGTGACTAATGATAGGAACACGACCCTAAACGGGATATTGCTTTTAAGACTAATGCTACAATATTATTTTCTGTTTACTCTCTTCTAATTAAGGAGTTATACACGTTCAAAAAATATCTATTTAAGTTCAATATATTGGGAACGGCATGCTCAATTTTAAGAATATTAGTATCATATGATAGGTCATAGAAAGACCTGGTGCTAATAACTAAAAGAGTACAGAATAATTAGGTCCAAAGCTATAGGAAATTAATAAAATTGTATTTAAAAAATGTGGTTTTAAAAATATGTTATTTTAATATTAAATATCTTATATGGGAAATTTCGTGTCAATTGACCTAAGTTAAAAAATCGATTTGGATGAAATTTGCACCAAAGATAGTATTATTAGTTAGTAGTCCAGCTCTGTGTCGGTCAAGAACAGCCGGAGTTAGAGGTCATACGGGGTTTTTTTTAAATGAGTGTAACTTTTCACCTATTGGTCCTAGCAAAACTTGTTCAAAATAGTTTTGATTCAAAAAATAATTTTTTTGATAGATATCCCACTCGCATCCCATTAAGCGACAATAAAGATCTTAAAGGAAATTGTATAAGCTTTCGTTTGAGCAAAAAAGAAGGTACATTAAAAAAATAAACAAATTAAAAAAAAATAAAAAAAAAAAATAAAAATTATTAAAAATTCAGGATGCACTAAGTAAGTGCAATTATCAAGTTGGCTGATTTTTATTTGTTTATTTAAAAAGTCTATGGGTTGTGTCGAAATTAATTTATTTATTTTTATTATGAAAAAAAGTTATTTGTATTTTCAAACGAAAATTTTTCAAATCAAAAATTATGAACTAAAATGCTGATAGAAAGTTAAATATATCGTTGTTCTGGACAACAAAAGATATTGTGTTGTCTTACCTCACTTATCACATCATGTAAAAATTAAATAATTTATGTATTAAAAGTAGTATTATTATGAATATAATGATTCCAGATAGCGTTTGAATCCTTTAAGTAAAAATTTTAATGCATTTTGTTTTTGTTACGATAATGAAATACAAATAAAATGATCATACGTAATGTAAAGAATGAAGAACTCGTTCTTTATGTTTTATGATCAAAAATAAGATTGATGCTTTCTTTATTTAAATTCGGTCTTATATACTAATAAATTTTCTAATTCTATGAGTGACTTTCTAAACTCACTCAATAACTTAAACTCTACTCCAAATAATTAGAATAAAAATGTCCTCAATGCTATTTTGTTGCACTTGAATAAAACATACACTAAAAGTGTTCTAGATGTCACATATTCTGTATTCCCAACACTTAGGTCAGTTTACAATAGTGACATACTTCAGAAAGTGAAAGTATTACTCCATAAACAACACACACAAATATAAACAAATACCAAATACTACCATCCACTTACTTAACTTTTAGTTAACTTTTACTTTTGTAGACTGACTATAAGTTGACTACAATATAATGCAGCACTGCCTCAAAATTTCGTGTTCGACTACGAAAATAACACACTAATAGTCCTCTTTTACATTGAGACTTTTCCCCCTTGGCTTTTCTCAATTTTCTTTTAAATGCCCTTCGTAAAATCTTGAATGTTTACAATGAGACTTTTAAGGCATGCCTGCTTTTTGAAATTATGAGTGTAAGGGCCTTTTTTTACAATTCTTAATTTATTGTTTTAAATATTTTATAAATGAATATATCTATTTCTTTAATATTTGTTATATTAAATATTGTTTTAATTACACAGTGATACAGCAAAAAAATGCAGGGGTTCTCATATACCAATGCCATTTCGTTATAGTCCATAGAGTAGGAATATATTTTTAATTTTTCCCGATCACTTCGTTTAGTTCCTTTTTAAGAGCAAAAGGTGTGAAAAAGAGCTATTTTTGAAGTTTTAACTTTAAAAAAATATATGTTTGGTAGTTTGCAACCGATTTTCAAATTGGATATTTTGTTTTAAAGATACAAGTGTTGTCTTTCAACACAAAAAAATAAATCAAAAATTTATGATTAATGTCTTGGTTAGGGCCATTTAAGTAAAAAAACTCACACTTTTTTCACAATTTTTAATTTTCATACTGCTCTACGTTGGCCATGAAGCAATAACTTTAGCTTTTATTACATTTGAAAAAAGGCACATTAAGTTGGGTTTCCAATGATGATCAATTTATAATAATCGATGAAAAAGGTTATGAGTTGTTCTAAGTTTTATAAAAATATTGCATATTTCTTCCATACAAAAACGTTCATGTTTCTGGTTTTCTTTGTAACAAGTTTAAAAAATGTTTATAAACATTTTTATACAAAAATTAATTTGTATGGAGAAAACCAAAAATTCGAGGAACATGCTATTAGAAAAATTGGCATAAATCATCCAGTTTTTCATAGATTTTTATGAAATAACAAGTTTTAGAAACCTTCCTTTATGCGATTCTTCAACTCACTGCCTCATGGCCAAAGTAGAGCATGATGAAAATGAAATTTTTTTTAAAAAAGTGTGAGTTTTTTTACTTAAACGACCGTAACTCAGACATTTGACCATAAATTTTGGATTTCTTTTTTTGGATTAAAAGGCAACACTTGTATCATTAAAAAAAATATCGGATGAAAACTACTAAACTTATGATTTTTCAAATTTAAAACTTCAAAAATGGCTCTTTTTCGCATCTTTTGCTCTTAAAAAGTTAACGAAGTGATAGGGGAAAACTAAAAATATATTCGTACTCTATGGACTATAACGAAATGGAATTGGTATATGAGAACGCCTGCATTTTATTTTTCTTCACTTTTGTATCACAGTGTTATTTAAGTAAATAATTATGTATGTAAAAAAATGTATGAAAAAAATACTAAAATACTTTAAAATACATATTTTTGCTACTATTAGCTGTATGTTTTAGTTTTTCTTATAGCTATTTATTTTTTATTAAAGATATAATAACATTTTAATACTCATAACATTTGAAAAAATAAATTATTTTTAAATTAATTGAAATATGGAAGAAATTAAATTATTGCAAATGGCAACACTAATTCATGTGTGAGAGTAGTCGCAGACGATATTTACGCTGTGAGAGCAGAATAGAATTCAAGCAACTAGCAAAATCACGAACATGAAGGAAAAGCAATGTGGAAAAAACCCCTCAATAATGAAAAAATTGGAATTGTATTTTAAAAATAGACTTTATGTATGGAAGTTTATGTTGAGGGTGTGCATGGACAGTGAGACAAACTTTCTTCCAAGCGTTAACAGGTAAGCAATACATATATATATATATATATATATATATATATATATATATATATATATA